TTACTATCTGTATGTTTCTTTAGAGTTTGTCAACAGAAGAAGGAAGAAGGTCTTGTGGATCTTGGGTGTCAATGTAAAGGTGCTATTGCGAAAGCACATCGATCTTGGATCGACACTTGGTTTCATACAAAAGGATCCAATGCGAAATATGCCAAAAATTATTCGAAATTTGATTCCATGCATTACTATTAACTTATTTGTAACGGATACATGATTTTATTTGCTTTTGTCATGCAGAGAAGTAGCAGTAAATGTTTCAGCTCCCGAGTCCCAGCCCAGTGCAAGTATTCTGTGCTTAAGTGATAGGGCTAGAAATATAAACCTGTGGATGATTTTGCTAGTTTTATTTGGTTTAGCCTACAAGATACTACTAGACATTCAATAATATCCTGAAGTTTCGTTAACCAAATTTAAATCTGGAAAAGAAAACAAAGTTGAGTAAATAATTTGATGGTGTTTAATTGGTGATACTGAGATTTTGTCCAAGCAAACATAGAACAATGGTGCTGCAGTTTTTATTATGTTTTGTGGTTTATTTGTAACATCTTGTAGTCATGCCGAGATTGGTTCTCAAATGTGTTCATGATGCAGACAAATTACAGGGTTTGGAGGGCTGGTCCAAGCTTTACACCACATGAACGTCAAAGGGTAAGCGGATAACTGTGCCTGTCTACTGGGGTCAATCTTGCTCTTAGAGAAAATTCTTCCTGTTTGTGTTAATTCTGTATCAAATCAGTTTTTTTATGACAGGATTGTTTTAGTCCACTATGTGTGGCATTCTCAATCCTCATTGGTGGTTTATTGTTGGATGTTCTAGTATCCATTACTCGTGGTGTCTTTGCACTGCCTGTTAACATCATAGTCGGTATGTACACCTCACTCGAATTCTTCCCATGCCTGTTTATAAGAAATACCGTTCTTAGGAAGTAGCTTTGTCATTTATGCTTGATGTCGGAACTGGGAGAGACATTGTACAGGTGTTATTGTTGTACTAGGACTTGTAACTGCCCTTCGACTTGGCCTTTAATTCTGCCATGAGTGCAGTATTAGGAGAACCGTGCAAAGGGTAGAAGCAAATGCGACTCTTGGGTATCATCTTGCTTTGTAAGTAAATCTGTACATAGTAAAATTTGAGTGTACAAGCCAATTACGTGGTTTACATTCTCTACCAGTTGATACAGAGGTTGGAGCTCAGAGGTGGCTTAGTGGGCATATTGATAGCAAGCAATCACTGAAATGCAAGTTTCCTTTGAATCTACCCATAAACAACACTTCATAACCAAGAGTTTAGAACCAGCAATATTGGTGGTCTTGGTAATTATTCTGTCGGACAAGGAACTTCAGTTACTGATTCTGCAATGGGTAATATTAATAATTTGCAACAATTGACCAGTCTGAAGAACTATGTGAATAGTGGTGGTGATCTTGGTGTTGGTTTTGGTATGAACACTGGAACTCGTGGAGCTGGAATCAAGACCAGAACCTGTGGTTCTCGGCAACAAACAAATTCAGAGATTGTAAATCAAGGCACAGCTTCAAGAAGAATACTCTTGCATATTAGACTTTCTAATAGGCCAACGAAAGGTTCTGTTGGCTGTGTGAATGATGAGAAAATAACAAGTGCTGGCTTTGCTGAAGAAGAAGAAGTTCAATCTGCTCTAACAGAGGTAGAGTAACAAGGAAAAGCTAATCTTGAGCGCTGTTGATTTATTGCTGATCTTACTTTTCATTTTCTTTGCCAAAGGCCAAGGTATAATATTAGTATACTAAAAACCAAGGCTGAAGGTAGATTAACTAGGAAAAGTTTATTTTTAGTGTTGTATCCTTGCATTTTGTTTTCTCAGAGGTCAGTATAATATTAGCATGCTCAAGTATATTTCAGAAACTGAACAACATCTTTCAATGCTTTGAATGCAGGTCACAGAAGCTGAAGCTACAGGCCAAACTTCAATCTCTTATGAGACTTCTAGCCCTGATGAGCCAGAGAACAAGTTACTCAAGTTTGATGGCAGCAGCGATATTGATGATGAATCTAGCACAAAACCAAGGCAGAATGTAGATTAACTAGGTAAAGCTAATTTCTGAAAGTGAACAATATCTTTCAATGCTATGAATGCAGGTCGCTGAAGCTGAAGCTACAGAGCAAACTTGTAGCTCTGATGACTCGGAGAAAGAGAACAAGTTGCTCAAGTTCGATGGCAGAAGCGATATTGCTGATGAATCTTGTACAAAGCCAAGGCAGAGGGTGAAGCAGGCTGGTGAGCATCATAGCAGCAGCCAAAAGGGTCCATCGGTGAATTTGAAGGCAGCAATTTAATTCTTTTCCCCGCTATACTTGTTGGAAGAAACATATTTATATAAATTTCATAAATTTATTTTATTAAAAATTTACATTCAATCTTAAAACACTAGCCTAATAAAATTTGAATTTCATTAAACAAGTATGACCATTTCAATGCTACAAAGTGCTAAGGTGACCTTTTATGTAAAATCATTTGGGAAAAGTACAGTATCATTAAATTATGTTTAAATGATCATTTTGATAACTGAATTTTTAAAAATTATAAAATAATCATTGCAACGTTATAATAAATATAAAAGTTTGATAAATTCAATGATATTTTATAATTTTTAAAAATTCAATAAGCAAAACGATACCCAAAAACACTTGTAAATTGTAAGCGAATCAATCTCTGCTAAGCTTTCCGGATAAAGAACTGTTGCATCGGGATATTGAAAAAGGTGGTGGGAAAGACAAGATTTAGGAATATATGTTCACTTTGTATCAAAACCTGGCTTGACCCACTTTTCAAGCATTGGCAAGAGACCTCGATACCATTCCTCCCAAAAGGGTTTATTTTATAAATTTTTCATACATATGATATGTGTAATCACCATTTTTACCTTCCCTATCCAGCAACCAACGACAGCAGCCCCTCCACGTGCATTTCCAGCACCTTCCAGCAACCAACGATAGCATCCCCTCCACCACAACAGCTTTCCAACAGCTTCCACTAAACCAGCTGTCCCTCCACGTTTCAGCAAGTAACCCAGCTGTCCCTCCTACAGCTTACCACCAAACAAACAACAATCATTACTTTTGTTTTAAGCATGTAAATGGGTTAATATATAACCCATAAAAATTACAGTGTAAAGAGGAGAGAGGACACACAGAGATTATAAAAAAAACCAGGAGATCAAGCATCAATACAAAGAAAAAAAAATCAGAAAACAACAAAGGTTTTTATTTTTCAGATTTGTATTTTACTTTTATTTGTATTTTATTTTTTTCGAAATAAAAAACAGTAGGTTAATAAATTAAAAAAATAGTAAAGAAGAGTGAGTTGTACCGGTGCCAAGGGTTCATCGTCGGAGTCTAGGTTGCCGGAGAAACGCCGATTGAAGCATTGGGAAATAAAGCTTGAGTTGTTAGGCCTGGATTTTGGTAGTTTAAATCCCAAATCGGGATTTAAAATTTTTTAGGGATAAATTTTAATTTCGAGTTTTGTGTAAGGGATGAGTATTTGGCCTCCGATTTACGGTGGCCGGCGACGAGGTGTGGGGGTTTTATGGCTATCGGCCGGTTATGAAAGAGGAAGAAGGAGAAGATTGAGCTTCTCTCTTTGAGAGAAAAGATGAAGAAGAGTGGCTAGGTTAGCCAAATAGAGAAAAATATATATATATATATATAGCTTAGGTTTTGGGTTATTTACTTTTAAGTCACTCTAGTTTATACCACGTTTTACATTTTGGTCACTGTTTTTAAGGTTAAATTATGTTTAAGTTCCTATGTTTTCTGCGTCCTGCGTTTTGGTCACTAAGGAGTTTAGTTTAATTTGTGGGGTAAATCACGCTAAAATCCCTGTACTTTAAGCATTTTTTTATTTAAATCACAAATTAGTGGGTTAATCACCCATAAACCATTCTAGTTTACGCATTTTTTTATTTTGGTCACCAATGTTATTTCTTTATTTTATTTCGATTTTTTGCATGCTAATTTATATTTTATTTCATTTTAGTCATTAATTAATTCTGTTATTATTTTATTTATGAATATGATATTATAGTTTTAATTTTTTTATTTCAGTCACTATTTAATTGCAATTTAATTTATATTATTATTATTATTTCAATTCCAATAAGTTTAAATTATTACTTTAATTATTATGTTATTATTAGTTAGTCATATAAATATATAATAAGTAGTATTTATTTATTTATTTTATTTTTTTTCTTCTATTAAAATCCTATTTATAAATTTAATTTTATAAATTACTTTTAATAAAAATAATCATATTTTAATATATATTTATCAATATTAAGAAAGGACAGTCTTAAAACAACTGGATGTCCATTTTCTGATATTTTTAAATAAAAAAATAAATATTTTAATATATAAATATGTTTTTATATTATTTTCTATTAAAATTTATTCAAAATTAAGAAAGGAGCTGTTTTAAAGCACCTAGAAGCCCTTTTCTGATATTTCTAAATAAATAAATATCTTGTTTAATAAAATATATATATATTAATATATTATCTTAAAATTATATTAATAAACTTAACAGAATTATGGAATAAATATATTTTTAAACTTTTAAATTTTCAATAATAGAGACAATTTATAATTAATAAGTATCAATTTTGGGCGTTGTAGGGGTGCTAATCATTCTCTAAACGTAACCGACCACGAATCCCTTTTTATTTCTAAAAAGAACGAATTTTTGGTTAAACGCAGATCAGTTGATCAGTTTATCTTTTAACTGATGTTTTCTTAGAAAACTCTTTTAAAAGGTAATTTTTAGGTATTCGACCTACCTGACCCAGCCGATGGCAAATCCCAAACCATTTTTTTAATTATTTTGTATCCACATTATTTTTCCCGCCAAGTAAAAATTCGTGCCCGGATGAAAACCGGTTACGACAATATGTGTGAGCTCCAATGGAAATATATTATAGTAAATTAAATTATTCATCTTTTCAACAGTATTGGGATTGCTTTGGAATATATTACCAAAGGGATTACAACTTAAGGGAGGCGATCTGCAAATGCAATTGAGGGAATATCTTCTGGTGCTGGGAAACCATTAGATTTGTCTTCTTTCTTCAGTTTCCTCTATTTTTTACCTTCTCTTTATAAACTTGAGCAGACTTGTTTCTAATGGCTAACATATTAGCTAAAACATTTGGCTCTATTGTATCTGCCATCGCTTACTGTTTCTTTGGCTATCGAGACGACGACAACAACAAAAGCGCCATCAACATCAATTACTGCAACATGCCTAAGGCTAAGGGTCGACCACTTTCTTTGCAGGTTTTCCTTGGACCCCATACTTTTTTTTTCCTTTTATCCATCTAGGTAGCTTAAATCCTGTTCATCCTATGTTTCATGTTATTGACTCTACGCCTATTAAGTCATGTAATGTGTTAGTATCTATGGAGATATCTGTCGAATACGTCCTTCAAAAATAGTATCTTTATTCACTACTCATCCTAAGTCTTATACTTTCTTAAATGGCGATTCCCATAATTGGACCTCTTACAGTCTCACGTGATTTATTAAAACAAACTTGACATCTATCACCATCATAGGTATGACACCAACTGCCTATAACAGGGGTATTTATACTGGGAGAAAACTTGAAGACAAGATCCCTATCTCTTCCAGAGCTCATTTACACCATGTATCTTCTTCTAAACATTCATTAACGTTAAACTCATAAGCTTAGCTTAATTTACAGACCGTGGACCTCAAAGTCAAGATGTGCTGCACCGGTTGCGAGAGAGTAGTCAAAAACGCCATTTACAAGCTTAGAGGTATACTGATTAATTCTTGTATCCTATGGCCATCATTGTTTCATAGGATCATTATTAATGGTTGAGAATGTTAATGCATGTTAGGGATCGATTCGGTTGAAGTGGACGTAGAAATGGAGAAGGTAACGGTGACCGGTTATGTCGATCGGAATAAGGTGTTGAAACAAGTGAGGAGGGTAGGGAAGAGAGCTGAGTTCTGGCCGTACCCTAATCCTCCTTTGTACTTCACCACAACCGCCGAATACTTCAAAGACACGACCAACGAGTTCAGGGAGAGTTACAACTATTACAGGCATGGGTACAACCTCGGACACAGGCATGGTAACATTCCTGTTACTATTCGGGGAGACGAAAAAGTCAGTAACTTGTTCAACGATGACAATTTCAATGCCTGCTCTCTCATGTAAAATAGAAATTAAATCGGTATACCATCCATTCACCGTGATGATCGTGCATGTAAAATGTTATTTGCAGAATGAGTCCTCCGGTGTGAAAAGAATTTCATTAACGTGTAATTTATTAATTTATTAATTTATTCTTTCTTCGAAGTAATATTTCATGTTGTGGGGATTGTAAGAGAGAATAATTCAATTGGAATCAGCCCCCTTGCCTTACCTGTGTGCATTCTCTTTGTAATTTAGTTTTACCCGCACGACTTTTATAAATTTATTTTTTATTAGAGATATAGATGTGTTTGGACACTGCGATATAAATATAATTAGTAAAAAATAATAGAGTGTTTTTATTATTATTACTAATTATAATTCATTGTATATGTTTGTTTGGTAATGTGCTATATGCAAATGAATGGAATTCATTAATTAAAAATAAATGAAAAAGATTTAAAAACTATTATGACATGTAATTAATTCAATTTAATAGAGTTCACTGATTACATTAATTATTCAAACATACAAAATTTGTAATTATAACTAATTACAATAAAATTCAATTATTTTAATAATTTTTCAAACACACCTTTAATTTTCATATCAAAAACAAGTTCTTTTTGCACGTGAAACCATTGAATTTCGTAGATAAATTTATAAGGGTTAAATAATGATCTGGCCACTCAATTATAACTTGTTTCAATACTATGTTATTTCAAGAATTTTCTTTTTGTTAATTTGATCACTCAATTATAGCTTTATCTAATGATGTAGTACATTAAGAATTTATATTATCAATGTCACCTCCACTATTTAACCATCTTATATATTATTCATTATGGTTACAGATGAGTAAAGTTAACTGATGAACAATTTTTAAACGAATGATATATTATATACATGATTTTAAAAAATTATTTTAATGTTGATTTTTCACGTCACTTTAAAAATAAATTTTAAAAAAATATGTGATGCGGAAATTCTTTGTCAAAAACTATTTGAATAAAAAAAATTTATCATTTAACACGAGTCGCTTATTTAATGGTACATCAGCTTCAAAAGATGATCATGTGAAAATATCATGTTAAAAATATATTATTTATAATTTTTTCATGACACATTACTTGAAATAATTACAGTTAATTATATGTGAGACGATGAAATAATTGAGGTGTCAAATTAATAATATAAAGTATAATTAAGTGATTAAATTGATAAAAAAAATCTTAAAATATCATATTATTAGATAAAAGTATAGTCAGTAAAATTGATTAAAAATTATTTAAATATTATATTAGTGGGTAAAGCATTGATTAAAAATATCCTAGCAAGTTTTTTAACATACGTAAGATCTTGGTTCTTTGTTAATACACTCAAGTAGAGAGCTAAATGCCTAGTTTTGCCTTTAATAAGTCATAACCATTTTCACTATCGGTCAGGCCCAGAATATAAGTAGTTTCAGCTAACAATCTGAATAATCTGAATATAAACATGGGCATGTTTCGTGTAGTGATAAGGCCAATAACTGCAAAATGAATGTAGTTGGAACTCATTATGTCTGGCATTTCAGAGCTGAAATATAAGCAACCTTCATGATCTATTGTTGTCAGCTTTCAGTTCGACAACCGTACTTAATATTTCCACAATTGATTGATCAGATCAGTGACAGCTTAGAATCAGGAACTGTAGCAGCAGCAAATTCATTGTTTCCATTTCAATCATAATAGTGGGTGAATCTTCATTAACACCCCCCATCGCTATAATGGTTGATGTTTAGTCTTTACGGCTGTTATGAAAGTTGTGTCCCATTGAGTAGTTACTGTCAGTCACCTCTCTCTTCCTCTATAACCGCGGTTGTTTTATGGGATTGGGATCGGCTGCCACCCCCTTTTCACTGTCACGGTTAATGCTTTGTCATGAATATGATAAAGAGAATGCTATTTATGAAATGGAAGCAGTAGTTGTTAGCTCTTAAGTAGTTACGTGCAAACAAGATATGCCAACCCAAACCTGTAACTAGTTTACTAAAGCTGTTTTTAAGTGGTGGGACAGAGACTCTCCTTCTGTAAACGAGCATCCAATGAATGGTTGCAGGGAAAGGCAGCAAATGAGTAAGTACAAAAGGAGAAGGAAAGAAAAAAATAATATCCCTTAAACCCAGTGAGTTGATTTCAAGAAAAAGATATAGCATAAAGCAAAAGATAAATGAGGCATTTACCCTAGAGACCATGATGGATGTCTTGTGTGTCTTGTTCATCAGCAACATCCAAAACAGCCGCAGCAGCACTTAAACATGGACACTTGCAAAAGATATAGCATAACGCCAGTCATTGAAGGGTCACTTTTTCCCTTGTGTGTTGTGTCTGTTGGATGGCCACTTGCAAATTCTTGATCCTATATTTTTTTTCTATGGTTGTTTTGCATTCACAGACTCAGGAAAGGGGCTCATTCTAACATGGACACGTAAACATGTGACTAATAGATGTCTGTGTTGTCTCAAGCATGTGAAAGAAACAACTGTTATATGTCCAGAAAGGATAAAAAGACCTTGTTATCTTTTGTGTTTTGGCATATGTATTTTCTTTCCTTGCCCTTGCATTCAAAATGCATTACTATAGCGTTTCCCTCCCGAACATGTTATTAATGGTTAAGTCTCCCAATGCAGACGGCTGTCATTAATTTCATTTGACATCTTTTAAGATGGAAGAAAACTAAGCGTCGGAGAAGGGTGGTTTTCTGTAAACAAGTATTTAAAAGGGACTGAGTTTATGAGGATACTAAGGATAGATTCTTTGTCATTATCAACGAAAGCATAACCATTGTAGAATTTGAGAATAGACGGGGTTAGTTTATCATTAAATATGACTTGGAAGGGAATGAATTGTTGTACAAGTTGTTTGACGAAACGAAATCTTGGCTACATCTTTATCTTATACATCTCTTTCTGGTTGGACTTATCAATTTAAAGAAGTGGAAGGATGGACGGACCGACGTAGGACGGTAAAAATACCCGAACTCGATGATCCCAACCCAATCCGATACTATAGGTGATTTTTTTATTATTATTTCGGGCTGGAGCGGGTTATATAAAAGATAGGGACAGAGTTGGACGAGATCGAGTTTAAGGTGAAAAATATCGATCTGACCCGATCTGATATAAATTATTAAATTATCCTTATAGATATAATATATTTAAGGTTTTATACATTTTTATTTTTATAGAGTTAAAATATGTTCTTTAATTTTTAAAAATATAATAAATTATTATAAAATATATTATTTTAATATTTTAAAATATACTATTTTAATATTTTAAAATATAATAAATGGTTATAAATATATTACTATAAAATACATTATTTTAATTATTTTAAAATATTAATATATTCAGACCGAGTTGGGATTTTAATCTAAAATTCAAAACGAGTTTGGGGCGAAAGAAAAACTAGCCACATCAGGCGAGGTGGAATCGGATATAAGTAATATATTTTTGAGTCGAGGTCGGAGCAGTCGAAAACCAACCCATCTTGCCCCGTGTCCATCCCTAGACGAATGTATATAGAGAATGGAAGTAACTTTTATCCCTCCCAAAATTTTTAGTCTAACAGTATTTTAGATTTTTATCAATTTAAATTTAAGTAAATTTAAACTTTTGACCCTCTTTAATTTTTTAATTAAATACGTAATAAGTCTACAATGTTTTGAACGTACATTATCCCCCAATATTTAATCTTTATTTATATTTGAATTTCTTTTATCTCTCTTGTGAACACTAGTTTATTCTTATTGTATCTCATTTTTCAAGTGTTATTATTGGGTTTGAATTAAAAGAGTGCAAGATTTTTTTTAAGTTTATTATTTATAATTTTTCTTTGAGAGAGAGTATACCTAAAGTTTTAGTGCATAAACCTTGAGAGAGTTATAAGGTTATAACTTATTCTTAAAAATTAAATAAATTAGTTAATTTAAAAAAAAATTAATGTCGATAGTTAAGGTAATCGATGTAAATTTTATTGAAGAAGTTAAATTATTTTTAAATTTTATTTCTTACAAAGCTTCCATAAAAAATTTAAATGATCAATCTATTCTTTCTTGATTATCTTCATTTAATCGATTGTCGAAATAGGCTTAATCGATTGAGTTGTTTAGAAGTATTCGTGAGGTTCTACCTCAATATATACGACTCTTGTTGCATCTTAGTTCAAGACATGATAATTAAGAGAATCGTCCCAATAATAAACTTCTGCAATATCTTATTTTAGATTGGTTGATCAGGTACAAGATGGTTATAACAAAAACAAATAAATAAGCTTTGGATAAACTTTTACCACATTTCTTTTTAATCACTCAACTATCAAAACTTTTAATTTAATCACCAATGTTTATGTTGTTTTAATCATTATACGGTTAATTCCTTAACATCTTGATGACATGATATTTCTTTTTCAAACATGGGAGCAAACAAATCGTTAGTATTTAAACTCATTTTCCACCTAATAATTTCTTTTATAATAAAAACTCCTTACCATTGAATCCTCTGTCCACTACCACCGCCATCATACAACAAGTTTCCCTCTCGACTTGAATTCAAAGTCCAAAACAGCACAAAAAGAAGCCCACCACTTTCTTCAACTCTTGGGGGGAACCAACTCATTCCTGCATTCTCTTCTCAAAATTATGACATGGATTTTTATTATAAAGCTTAGTCAATGAAATTTTTGAATTAATTAAGATATTCAATATATGAGTTAATTGATTTTTTAAAATATATATCAAAATAACTTCATTCCTATTCTTCCTTCATACCTAAGAAAACCACAAATAGGGTCTCAAATTAACAAACAGTAAAGGAATATTTTGTTTTTATAATCATTGCTTTGGTCGACAGACAGAGCATACTCTTGACTAAAATTAAAGGGAATGTTGCTTAGTATTCTTTTTATGTTATTCAAATTTTTTATTTTTATTTTTTTACCAATAAGGGTTGATTCAAGTGGTAAGCAGTTTAATATTGTTTATACAAGGTCTCAAGTTTGAGTTCTTGTGTATGCAAAAAATTCTTTTTGAAAGGCTTACTCACCAAAACCAGGTGTGCGACACTGTTCGGTCTGCCTTAATAAAGGCAAAACCTTAGAATCAAGAGGGCAACAAAAAGAAAATCTTTTTTAAATAAATAATTAGAATCATTCATTTTTTTCAATCCTCTATTTTATTTTCAAGCGCATACTTAATTAATAGCATATGTAAATATTCTAAAACATTGAAATCGGGATGGATCAAGGGAGAAGTGAGTGGGGACGGTCATATCCTAAAATTTCAAATTCTTATATAATTTAATTTTTTTTATTTTTCAATTATAAATCTATTTCGTCCATTAGAATTTTATAATTTTACCCTATAACCGTTCATCTTTGATTGAAATTGTCTTTGTAAATCGAGAAACAATGAATGGGATTGAAGGTTGAACTTAACCAAACACTCAATTTTTATTCCATTTGTATCGATTGAATCCATCATTAGTCGCCATGCACTTGAAAGTAGATAAAAAGCAAAAGAAGGGTGCATCCCCCAAACAAGCAAAGAAGACCTAGCCATTGTTTTTGACTCGAAATTTAGCTTATTTCTCCTATTATACATATGTAATATATGTCCAACAGTTTGAGGATCACACACTCCGAGAAAGTACATTATCAAGATTTTCATTCCCTCGTGACCATTCTATAGGCAATCAGCTGGCTCATAAAACATAGAATAATACGGAATGACTGTATCTGATATCAAATGTAGGTCTTTAACTAGAAATGCTTTTACCGGTATATATACAGATGACGAACTGGAGGCGGCAAAATTAGATATGAGAATTTTCATTTCAACTACATTTGACATTACTCCTGCTATACTATTTCAAACAAAATTCCTTTGTGCTTCAACAGACAGACTGACATTTCTTTCCATTTTCAGTCGAGAGATAACAGCAAAAGCATGCATTATCAGAATGCTCATACGTATATGAAAGGCTATTCACAAGAGGGAAACGTATAATATATAACAAGATAATCCAACATGTAGAATGGTGTATGTTATAGATCAAATTGAAATTAAGAAGCCATTTATAGAAGTATTCTCTGCTTGTTGTTTAAACATAATCAAAGAATGCAGCTGTTATCCAATAATGTTGTCATCTAGGGCTAGCTGAAACAAAAAATTTCTACTTTTATATGTGTGTGTAATAATAATGAACACTTAAAAGTCACTATGAAAAAGTTTGAATAAAGGAGTTGCAGAAGTATTATATAGAGCTTGACACATTTAATAGCCATTTGATGCATGCTCTGGCTAGGTATATGCAGCTTGATAAAAAGAAAAAGAAAAAATGATGCAAATGAAATTTGATCAAGGAGGGAACAAAGTTGTAGCCAAATCAGGTGACCAGTGAACAGAAAGTGTGATATAAGGTACAAATCATGAATTGCTAACTTATTCATCTACATTTTTTGTGGGTGTGTTTATGTGATTAGTAATACTGCAAGTTTCATCTAGGGTTTTGATGTTGAGAAACTGCAAAGAGAAAATAGATGAATTGAGAAAGTGGAGCGATATGTGCTAGCAACAGACCAACTTCTTGCATGTTCTTTCTAAAATTATTTTGAGAAAACTGAACTCCAAAAGTTTATAATAAGGTTCATAATCAACTCAAATATTCAATTTAAATTGTTCACCAGTTTAGCATATATGAGCACCGACGATATTGAATTTTGAAAAACTATATAGGATAAAAAAGTATATTTTATTCCTTTGCTACTATACCTGCACGAGATTTGATTCACGGATCTTATATTTTGGTCTTTTGGGTCTAAGATTTCAATCTAAATATAGTAAACAAAGTAGGAAACTATTCATTCAATTATTACTGCCAATATGCAAGTTGCAGTCGTAATTAATATGTGTGATTATATATATACATACAAAGATGTTTGACATCTTTTCGATTACTGGGGATTATGGAAGCTAATCAAATAAAGCAAAAGATGAGTAAATATTTAGAGGAAGAAAATGGAGAACATGCAGTGAAAGCTAACCAGATAACTGTAGTACAAAAAAATTGTATTTATGATGGCATCTGTATTATCCAAGAGAGTCAATAAAGTAAATTTCGTTAAGGGAAAACATTCAAACATGAAATGAACAATATAGAAACAAATTAATGCGTAAAAGAATAAACAAGTGAGGAAGAATTTAATGAACAGAAAAAGGGTCCAAGAAAACTGATGGAATGCCTATACCTTTTAAAAGCCCCTTGCTAAGTTTCTCTGCAAAACCTGCGGGCGTGCCCAACGAAGCAGTGACAAGAACAACAACCTACTCAAGTAAAAACAAAAGAGAGCAAAAAGAAAAAACTTTTGGATTACATCAGATAGGTAGCTAGCACTCTGCTCACTTACTGAGGAATCAGGAAAGGTTGTTATTAAAAAAAACAACAGTGGGGGGAGGGAGGGAGGGAGAACAGTTAAGAGCCAAAGGGAATAAAGATACTGGGGATCTCATTCAGTGTAAACAATGGGTTGGATGGATACATTCAGTCGAGACCAGACCCTACAAAAAGCAAACATGAAATCTCGGGATCCATGGATCTATTATCTATGTATAATATATTATACTTTTATTTTATACATAAAGGTAAAAGGACTCTTGGGGTTATGGTTGTCATCATCTCTTATCTCTTCCTAGATCTTCACAGACACCCAAACCTGTAAGTAAAACGACATTGAAATCTGAGTACTTGTCCACCCCCCCCCCCCCGCCCCCCCCACCCCGGCACTTCCAAAATACTCATAATATTCTTCCATCTCTTTTTATTAAGCTTTGATAAGGAAATGATCATAAAGCAGCATTGTATATTTCAGAATCTGGGTCTTCTTCCTAATAAGAATCAACAAGTGGTAAATTAAACAAAGAATGAAAAAGCGGATTTGCAGCTAGCACTGTAATTCTAGTCTTATCTCCAGGCATTTTGTTGTTGTTTGTTGGTGGTGTACTGTTGATTGTGGAAAAGGTAATTGAACTGGGGGATTGAAGAAACATTATGCCAAGTCAATTTGTTGTGGCGTCAGATATCTAAATCCAAGGACATGGAAGCCTTCCCTTTGTTTGGGTTAAGGAACTCAGTGGGGGACAGTGGAGTGCCATTGTAGAGCCTTAATTGGAGAGGATGCTGAGATGATGAAGAGCGTTGAAGAGGCTGCGATGCCATCGTAGTTGTTGATATCACATCATACTCATCGTACTCCGATATGGGGCAATCCATGTTCACCCCGAAAAGCCTTAACCTCTTGGCTGCTGCCTTGCCTTGGACCACCGGTACCGAATCAAACGCAACAGGCTCTACAACTCCACCTTTCTGTTGCCACTCCATCATTCCCATTCCCATTTGTGGGGGTGCTGAAACCACTGCTGATCTCAAATAAAATACTGAACCCATCGTACCACCTGGATTCACCACGTTGTTCCCAGAAGGATAGCCTCCGTAGTAGTTATTTCGGCTAAGAGGGTTTATCTGTGGCGGGTGCAAGTGATCTCTTCCTGTTGGTGGCGGTCGCATGAGCAATGGATTCCATGGGATCGAGCGGTGCAAGGGGAAATGGTGTTGCTGATGATGGGGATGGAAAGAAACCTGCGTCTCCGATGCATCAGGTCTCCGCCTCCAATCAATAAAAAGACGACCTTTACCCAAATCACCGACCCCTCTCTGGAAAGAAACAATATCGCCAGCATCGAGTTTCTTATCCTTGACAAAACGGCTCCACCCTTTGGTCATAACATAGCTTTGGCTGCTACTCCAATAACAGTACCTGAATCTCCACGGCTTCCCATTCCTGTCCTCGAAATTCAAAAGAAGACCTTTCTCGTTTGAAGAAGAATCCAATGAGAAATACTTCTCAGCGTGTTGTTTTGGGATAACAAGCCGGTTGAGTTTCCCCACATCGCTTGGAGTGACTACTTTGTCGAACATGTGTTCTTTCTCGATGTTGTCACTTGCACTACTCCTGAGCTCAAGGGTTGAATCTGAGTCTACGCGTGTAGAATTAGCTTCGCTTACAGTAGTTGTGACTGTTGTTTCCTTATCTTCTACCAGTTCGTCCCTATTGCCTAACCAGCTGGGACTCATTTGATGGTGGGTGTCGTGAATCTGATGAGGCTCCCATCGAGAGTTGCCTTGAGGAGGCAGCTGGGTTTTGTACTGAGGAGAAGATGAAGTAGAAGAAGAGGAACAGTATGAAAAAGGGCGCTTACCTCTACCACCCATCTCTTCTTTAAACCCTTTTCTGTCAGATGACTCAAAATACATGGTCCACTCTACCAATTCTGGTTTTTCTTCTTCTGAGGAATCTAGACGGTAAACAATGAAGAAGAAGAAGAAAAATCAATCAAAGAAACGTAACAGGAAAGGAAGAAAAATGGGGAAACTAATCAAAAGCTAGTTGAGGTTGAGAAAAATTAAACAAACAGACAAAGAAAGAAGACCAGAAAGTGTGGCATGCTTTATTGGTTTTTGCTAGGGTTGAAGAACAGTGCGAAAAGTCGGTGCTTGGACGAAACCCAAACACGAAAACAAGAGTTGAACAACAGATGAAACCCCCCACTAGACGCTTCAATAGAGATATTTTGCAACTTCAGCTACTTGTTGTCGACCTTTGGAAGAGGAGAGTGAAAGACAAATAAAATGAAAGAAATGAGGTTTATTTGGTGTTATTGTATTTACCAAAGGTTTGAGCCCTTCACATGTTAGGAAATCCACTATATTTCCTTTCTTTTAATAATTTCTCAATCTATGATGTTTCTCATGCTTATGAATGAATGTTTCTAAACCCCAAACATGTAATTATTATCATGTTTAGATGATTAAGGGTAAAGTATATAAATTTTTCCTGACTATAGGATGTTATTTTGTTAACTCCTCCGACGATTAAAAGTTACAGAATGATCATCTGATCATTCATATATTTCAAACTTGTCATTTTTCATAAAAAAAGTAATGTTCGTCTGAGCCAAAGGTTAACATGTTGATTGGAGTATGATAAAAATCTTATTTTAACGTTGTCTACTAACACTTTCGTTGCTTTTAAGAAATGGTTTGATGATATAATGTTTTAAGCATTAGCTTGACGACATAATATAAATAGAGAATCAATCCATAAAATACAACAAAAACGATTTTGGGATCAGATTTTATTATATCTTAGTTAATATTTTAAGTCTAGCTCAAACGAACGAAAATGTTTTTACAAAAAAAATGAATTTGAAACATATAAATAGTTGAGTGATCATTTTCTAACTTTTAATAATTGAAATACTAAACAAAATAATACTTATAATCGATGAACCATCATGTAATTTTTAATAATCAAAGAAACATTTTATAACTTTTAATAATTATAGTCGTAAAATTACTAACAATGAAATCATAATATCATTTTGTAACTTCTTTTATACTAAATTAGATATACACTTTCGAAAATTATGCAATTAATTAACGATAATAACTTTAAAAAGAAATATCCATTCTTTTAATTTGTGTAACCTACTGAACCTAGTTTAATTTTAGGCTGTAAACCAATAGATACAGAGAATTATAATTCATTAGTAATTATAAGAGTATATTTTTTTATAGAGAAAATAACCTCAGTGGCAAAAAATGTCTTATAATATACGAATTTAACCTACTTTTTTTGGATTTGTCAAAATGACCAACAAATTCGCAACGCGAACTTCAATTTCGCAACCCAGTTTCCAATTTCGCAACGCGAATATGTAAATCGCAACACAGAAGTCAAATTCGTAACGCGATAGTCAAATTCGTAACACAGAAGTCAAATTCATAACGCGAAAGTCAAATGTTTTTACGCGAAACACAATATTAATTTCGCTACACAAATGTAAATAGTATTATCGCAAATCATCTCTAACCTAAAATCCTAAATCACAACTCAGTCTCATCTCCATCTCTCTCTCTCTCTCTACGGCGACATCTGTCCACATCTCCGACGAAATCCATCTATATTCATCTCTCAGAGCAACATTCACAACCATTCACGGTCAGAAATGGAAAATCAACCACCGAGGGTTAGTTTTTTAATTTCTTATTTTTATTTTGAAATTTTTGTATTATTATTAGATTTTTCTTATATTGATGATAAATTTACTGGTAATTTCAATATATATAGATTAACCATTTCACTGAGATTGCTTAGTAAATTCATTCGGTTGCTGCCAATACTGCTAAACTGTTTAGTCTTTAACCCTGTGAAGTTAGTATTTGTCTTTGTTTTGTCTTTTTGTTGAAGAAACCCTAAATCAAAACACCAAATTCGTAACGCGAAAATGAAAATCGCAACGCGATTTTTGTTTCGTGTTACGATTTTCATTTTTGCCTTGCGAATTTAAGTTTCAGAAACTTCTTTTATTCTGCAAATTTAAACTTGAATGAATTGCATTACTTGAACCAAAAAACAAAGACAAATACTAACTTCACAGTGTTGTTAATTTAAGTTTCAAGAATAAACTACTACTCTTTATGTTGTCTTTGAACCTGCACTAAACCTATATGTTGTCCTTTTAAATGTTTATATAAGTGCTTACTTCTGGAATGTTATATGATGCATTTTGTGAACTATGATGGAATAATGACTTGGGTGAATACCGTGCTAGTTTGAAACATATTTGGCTTTTTTTTCACTGTTTAATATCATGTTTGTTTATATTGTATAATTTGTAGTTTTTGGTATATCTAACTGTATGTTTATTGTTTTTGTAGAAATTTTTTCGGCTGCATTAACCTTAAGGAATAAATTAAACCTAGCCACTAAAATTGCGTCGACGCTTACACCTCTACAAAGAAAATTATTTGAGGATACTTGCTTCGGGCCATGGCTGAAAGTACAACATACGGGTGGAGATGCTATGTTGACACATTTGTTTCTTCAGACCATGACTAACGATCTACCCGAGGGGATACAACGTGGTAATGAGGAGATATGGTTTCATTTTCCTCCGGCACATACTTGTTTTGGGCGGGAGGAGTTTTGCTTAATCACTGGTCTACGCTTCAGACACGATGATGTAGGTCGGTACACTAGTCATATCGCCCGCCCATCATGGTTATCTCGGGTTTTTCCTAAGCTGGCAAAGTCGAAGCCGAGTTTACACGTCGATGACTTGAAGAGATTATTTGATAAAGATGGTTTTACTCGGATGAATGACCTTGATGTTGTCTGAGTATGCCATTTATTACTTTTGCATGCTGGTTTTTTAGGCAAAGAGGGCAGACAACCTATCTCCGATGACCTAATATTATTAGTAGAGGACCTAAATGCATGGAACATGTTTCCGTGGGGTTCATATCTATGGAAAGCTATCTGGAAGAAGTTGTTGTATGCCTTTGAGGATCGAAAAAGTTTGCGGGGCGATGGTTCTAAATACACTTTGACAGGCTTTACTTGGGCCTTTAAGGTAAGAATTTATATATAATGTTTCTAAAATTATAATTAATTATTTAACAACTACTAAAGTTTGTGTATTATATTGTTTGTAGATTTGGATATTTGAGGCTTTCCCCAGCGTGCGGACATATACGATAAAAAGATCAAATGATATTCCTAGGGCTATTACCTGGAAGAGGATCCGCATGTTGGATTGGGAAGAGTTACTCCCATATACGACGATGAATGATGTAAGTTAACAAACAAATAATACCATATATAAACAAGTTATTACTAGTACAAGTTTAACTTTGTTTGAGCTTTTATACTGTTAGGAGGCCAATTATCCATTACAGAGGCTGACACCCACAAAGGCTGAGCTTTCCACTGATTGGTGGCAAGCTAGTAAGCGGTTTTTTGATGGGACGGATAATGAGCACCCCCCACCTCGAGAGCCATCACCTGATCGGGCCGATTCTATAGCTTGACACCCGGAGCCATCACCTGATCGAGCCTCTTATCCACCTCCACCATCACATATTCCATCACATCATCGAGCCTCTTCTCCACCATCACCTCATGATAGGCGACCGACAAAGAGGCCACGACATTTATCTCCCTGTTCTCCACCTCCACGGGATGAGTTAGGGGAATTACGTGATGAGGTCGATGCTTTGCGTCATGAAGTCGGTACTTTACGTGAAGATAATGGTGCATGGCGTGATAAGATTCAATCTTTATATGGTGAGGTGGATTTTTTACGCGATGACAATGGTGCACTACGCGATGAGGTATCTACTTTACGTGATGAGGTTGCCGCTCTACGCGAGATTGTTTCGTTGTTGCAAAATGAGGTTCATACTCTACGCAATGAGGTAAATTTGTTTAATACTATACTAAAAATACAAATAACCTTTTTTCGGCATTATTTATTTATTTACTAATTTATGTATTAATTTATTTTCAGCGGTCCGATAAGGTAGATGCTTTACGTCGGGTTTTTCTTGCACGACGGGGTTCACGCATCAGACGTCTTGCACGTGCCATTACGTCTCCGTTCACCCCCACTAGTGCCAAGACTCCGTAAGAATAAGCCCGATGCACCTATCATCATTCAAGAGGCCCCCTCTCATTATCAAAGAAGCCCCTCCCACCGTTCAAGAGGCCCCTATCATTGTTCAAGAGGTCTCACCCACCGTTCAAGAGCCCGATTCACATGACGTTATATGTTGACATATTGATAAACCCCCTCTCGTGCCCGATATGATGGATGCGAGTTGGCTTTCGTATGTGTTACCAGCCAGTACCATTCCTCAGCAGGAGAGGGAAACACTACCAGACATAATTACGGATAATACCCTTTGGGCTAAGACCGCAGTTGATTTTTATCTACATGAGCGGAGCAAGGGGTGTTATTCTGACCTATGCCAAATCGACGATGCTATTAATTTGTTTCTTGATCGGTCTTGGTGGGGTATTTTATTAGGGGTTAAAGATAATGACTATCTCGAAGGGGTGGTAAGTCTTATATTCTTCTTATATTACATTTTGATTAATTTTTTTTAAATTATTAATAAATTCACTAATATATATTTTTTTTTTATAAAACATCATATTGATGCATGGGTGTCACGTCTTCTAATAATAAGGAAATTGAGGAAAAGAAATACTCGATGGACTATTATGACTACGTCTTTTCACGCAGCTCACTTGAAGGATCAGAGAGATGCTTCATATACGTTGGGTAATGGAAAAGCTAAACTTTATCCTGCGTGGTGGGAGGTCGATAAGGTTAGTATTTATTTTTTTGAATATTTTAAAGGTTTTCATAAATTTTATTTGATGTACACAATTATTTATGATTACATGTGTTTATCCTTGTTTT